AGAAAGAAAGAAAGAGAAAGACAATAAAGCTGTCTAGCCGTCTCTTGCCAATGCAAACAGTGGCACCAGTCCAGCAAAGACCCATCGATGCACATGGATTTCTCCCAATTTTGCATCTGTGACTAGCCCAGGACTGGTCTCCAGCACTGATGGCTACAAGGGCTGACCCAAATCCCACACCTATTTCCCAGCAGAAGACATTGTTGGGCTCAAATGTGTTCACTCAGTCCAGCCCCTCCTGCCCTAATGTGCGTCCTTTGCTGGGTTATTTCATAAGCACAAAAATTTAGTCATACACTGTTTATTCATGCATGGAAATCCATCTTCTAGCACCCAGTTAATGCGCTGTATGATGAAAACCTCATTAAAAGCTCTTGCCTTTCAAATTTGAAGCCTATTTTTACCTTTCAATCCTGAAACCCCAGTAGAGCATTAGCACTGGTTTGATTCTTTGGGTGCATTTTGGCTGCTTTCTGTGGTTGCCCTTGTGTGTTCAGCCTGCACTTCAGAGAAATGATTCCTGCAGCAAAGGGAGGTTCTTTCTGCATTATTCACTGGGTTTGGATTATCTGTCCCTCCCTTTTTCTAGGTGTTTTCCCAACTTGCAGCTGTTTCAAACAAGAGCTGCATTTTGTCTTTTGTGCCAAAATCCAGGATTCCTCTTCAACCTCTTTCACTGTTGGTAAAATGGATATTAGAAGTGATTCAGGCATGTCCAACAGACTAATTTAATTCATAAGGATGCTGGTAGCCCTATCTGCTTCCTAATGGAAAGAGAAGTTTTCCAGTGGCATCTGTAGGAGCTGCATGAGGCTGCTGGAGCTACAGCTAAAGGCTGCAGTGTGTGTGACGGAAGAGGCCCCGCAAAATGGATTTGGAGCAAATTTCAGACCTGTGAAGCCAAAGAGAGAATTAAACCATCAGGAAAGATGCCTCCTATCAGCAAACTCCTCATTTGCTTGAGGCAGAGTACTTGATTTCTAGAAAGCCAACTCAGGCCCTTGTATTTGGAAGCAAATCCACGGAAGGAACAGCTTTACTGAGCATGGTTGGAGGGAGCTGTAGGTGGTCTGGAAGAATCTCAGCCCCTCTTGATTGTTAATGTATTAATTAATAGCACTGTTGCTACCACCCTCACTTTCCCTCCTCAAAGGAGAGGAGGAAGAGTGTGGAGTGGACACAAGTCCCAGGGGCTGCAGCCTGGTGATTTTGTGGCAGTGGACAGACAGACAGCACTGGCACTTCCAGCCCAGGAGCACAAATCACTCCTGAGTTACAGGGAGGCTGTAAATTGCTCACCAAGGGCCTGATCCCGAACTCCCCGCAGAGATATCAGAGTCACGGGGAGTTTTCCGTGAGTAGGAAGTGGAGGAATGAGCTTCAAACATTCAGGCCCAGCTCCACATGGGTGGTCTGTTATGCCTGGATGGATTCCCACCGGCTCCAGCCGCGTTCCGAGGTAGTGGAAAGGCTCTTCCCAAACGCACCCCGATGCAGATCCAGCACTCTGAGCACTCTGAGCACTTGCGAGGGACCCCAGTGAAAAGGCAAAGCCTCAGGCTCACCAAAATTATATTAATCCCACTTCGGAAAACATGGTTGGAGGGGAAAAGCTCCTGGACCACTTTGTAGAATCATTCAACAATCTTTGAGAGAAAAGGGGTTTCCATCTGCAGCTGCTCAGAGAGGAGCATCACAGTTTGTTCTGGTTTTTGGGTTGGCAGAGCAGCTGTCAGCTCTGAGGGGGACGTGGAGCAGCAGCACCCGAGCCAAGCAGATCAGAAACCAAATTCTAAAGCCATTTATCTCCACCATTCCCCGATACACTTTAAAATAAACCTCCGTTCCATTGTTCCCATGACCCCTCCATCCCGCTCCGCTCAGGAATGTTGGGATTCTCCACGTCCTCCCTCTTCTTGGGGGTAATTGTGGGATACACTAATTCTACAAATAATAAATTGTGCAAATGAATCATTTATTATCCTATTAAACGCAAACAAGAAGTGCACTGTCTGAAAGCTGGCAGGCTGGG